CCCCCCCTCCACCCGATCCCTGGGTGCCCCGAGGGTGCTCTGCCAGCTGGGTGCACCCCAGGGCGCTGTGCCGGAGCGATGTACCGGGCTGCCGAGGACAGCTGGGACCCCGGGGTGGGCTGGAAGCCGGGAGCGATGCCGTGGTGGGGCCCAGGTTGGGAGCCGGGGTTCAGTGGGGTTGGGGTCGGGGTCTCCAGCAGCAGCACCCTGCCACTGCCCGGGCTGGGGACAGCGGGCAGCAAGGACCGTGTTTGCACGCAGAGATCAGGATCTGGCCCCTCTCCTAAAGCCGTGAGCTCGCCCCCAAACCAGATTTAAGACCGACCGAGGACCAGGCAGGCTGCGAGCCACCGTGAGCTTGTGCTTGCTCTCTCGGGGCTTCGGGAGACATCATTTTGGGACCTGTGGGTTTGACGGGGCTGGGGACAGCCTGGGAGAGGGGACAAGGGCTCCTCTCAGCATCCCATCGGCACGCAAAGGTTTTGTCCGGCATTGGTGAGATGCAGCCTCCAGGACCCGTCCGTCTGTCTGTGTCCCCCCGCCCGGGCTCGCTCGGGCAGAGGCTGGGGGCAGGGAGAGCGGGGGGGCTCTCGGGGGGGCTGCCTGCCAGTCTGCAGCAGCTCCGCAGCTATTGATGCGTCGCCTCCGCTCCCCATCGATTAGCCCGTAATTGCCCGAGCATCCTCCAAGAGACCGCATGCCCTCCTGCGCAGGGTCGGATCCTGACGCTGGTGTAAACGGGGCCTGTGGCAGGCAGCTGTGTCCGGGGGGGGGTGTGTGTGTGTGTGACAGCCCTGGGGGACACCACCCAGAATTGGGTATCAGCCCCAGCGGGTGCCTGGGACATCCCGCCGCCCCTCGGCGCTGTCACTGCTGCGTCCCGGTGGCTTCTGCCGGCTCCTTCTTGCTCTGGGGTCCGGCTGTGGGGGGTTCACGGCCAGCGTGGGACCCCACACGCCGCCCTGTCCCCCAGCCCACACATCACCCCCGCCGTGGCGCAGCGTGATGCTGCGGCCAGGGAGCGTGCCGGGGCCATGCGGTGCCCTTGTCCGGCGAGCCTCGGCGGGGATGGCATCTAGGTGCCTAAACCGTGACCCTCCGGCGTTCCGGGATCCCTGCAGCCCCCTCGGTTCAGGGGAGGTGCTGGCGCCTGGGTGCCTGATCCTGCGGGGGACACAGGGTGGTCGGAGGCGAGGAGCCCCTCCGAAACCCACGCTGCTTAGCTGGGAAATGTTAGTTTTGGGACCCTGGGCTTCAGCCGGCGCGTAGTTCAGGCCTGATCCTGACCCCGAGCTCACCCCCGCTTCCCTCCATCCCCAGGTCCTGATGCCGTCCTGAGCCTCGCCGGGCGCAGGAGATGCACTGAGCGGCACGAGGTCTCTGCGGCCGGGCCCCCGCCATGGAGGAGGGGGGGTCTCTGCCGGTGGCCGCCTGGCTGGCGGCCCTCCACCTCGACCAGTACGCGGAGAGCTTCCAGCAGAGCGAGCTGTGGACGGTGTGGGACTGCCGGGCGCTGACGGACGAGGCACTCACCCGCCTCGGCGTGGTGCTGCCCGGCCACCGCCGCCGCATCCTCCTGGGAGGGCAGAAGGCCG